CAGTCTGTTAAGAATGGCCTCTTTTATAATCTTTTCGAAGACCTTCCTCAGGGTAGAGGTCAGGCTGATGGGCCTGTAGTTTGCCAGATCCACTTTCCTCCCTTTTCTTGAAGATAGGCACCACATTGGCCTACTTCCAGTCTTCTGGCACTTCACCAGAGCACCAGGAGTTCTCAAAGATCTGTGTCTGGGTCTGAGCTATGATCCTTGCCAGGAACTTGAGTACCCTGGGGTGTAAGCTGTCAGGGCCAGCTGACTTGAAGGTGTCCAACCTCTCAAGGTGTTCCTTCATGAGGTCAGCATTGATGGGGAGGCAAGAAAGCTCCCTTACCTGGGTCTCCCTGTCCCATAATGGGCAGGAGTGTCCCATGGGACTGGTGAAAGACTGACGCAAAGTACCCATTTAGTAGGTTGGCTTTTTCCTGGGCATCGGTTGTCAGTTGTCCCATCTAGTTTAGCAGGGGTCCAATGTTGCCCTTGCTTTTCCTCTGGCTCCACACGTATCTAAAAAAGGACTTTTTATTGTTCTTGATACTAGTGGCTAGTTGCAGTTCCATTGCAATCTTGGCTTTCCTGATTCGCTTCCTGCAGGTCTGGACTAGTGCAGAATATTCCTCCTTGGTGGTGGATCCTGTCCTCCATCCTTTGTGGGTCTTTCTTTTTAGACGTGGGAGGTCTGCTAGTTCCTTGCTGAGCCAAAAGGGCTGCTGTGCCCTTTTGCTGCCTTTCCTCTGAGACGGACTAGCCTTAGCGTGTGCATCTAGGATTGTTCCCTTGAGGAGCAACCACTCTTCCTGAACTTCCCTCTCCTTGGGGTCATGGTCCCTTAGGGCCTCACCGACAAGCTTTCTGAGCTTGTCAGTCAGCTTTCCTGAAGTCAACTTCCTTCTGTTTTGCTGACTGACTTGCCAGCTTTACGGCAGATGGTGAAGGTGATCAGCTCATGGTTGCTGTCACCCAGCTTCCCTTCGATCATTAGGTCACCGATTAGGTTGTCCCCCATTGCCAGTACTAGGTCAAGCAGCGCTTTATCTCTCGTCGTCCCTTAGACTTCTTGCATCAGATACAGGTCATCCATGCACAAGAGGAAGCTTTGTGACCGCTCAGATTTGGCCGCCAAGCACTCTTCCCACAAGATGCCTGGGTAGTTGAAGTCTTCCATGGCAGCCGTGGACCGGGAGCATGCAGCCTCAGCCAATTCCCTGGTGAACTCCTGGTCAAGCTCTTGTATTTTAGATGGGAGGTCTGTAGTAGACTCCCACCAGTGTGTTCCCCATGGATTTTAACCCAGAGGGTCTCCAGTTGTCCACCCTGGGCGCCAATGTCGGCTTACAGGGAGCTTTCCTTGATATAGAGAGCTACACCCCTGCCCCTTTTGTCCACTCGATCTCTCCTGTACAGGGTATAGCCGTCTATACCTGTGGCCCAGTCATGGGCGGAGTCCTACTAGGTCTCCGTTATCCCTATGACATCATAATTATTTGCGTTAAACAGGAGGAACTTGTGCTCCTGCTTATTCCCCAAGCTTTATCTGAAGGTAATGCTGTAAGATTTGGATGAGAATAGTTTGACCTGTTCAACTCATACCCTGTCTGCCCACAAATGGTGCCTTTTCATAACAAACCTAAGGAGAGGGACCAACTTATTTTTTTAGCTGCTTACAAAGGACTGTTGGATGGAACAACCGCCTCCCTACAGGTCCAAGGCCAACTGGAAGAGATGACCTAAGCTTGCCAGGCTCTCTTACCTAGGGTTTTCCTAAACATGTCCTCTTTTTTGACCCCTGTGCTGCATCTGGGCAGGTTTTTAAAATAAGAGGAAATGTCCAGGTCTGGCTGGTCCAGGCTGGGAGCAGCAGGCAAGCTGATTGGCTGTTGGGGGTCACATGCTCCCCACACTGGCTTTGGCAGGAGAGAGTGAGTGTGTGTGTAAGAGAGATCGGGCGCACACGCAATGCAGGAGCTGCTTGGTCTGGGCAGCAGCTGGTGGGGCGGGGGGGCGGAATGAGGAGCACCAGCAAGGGGTGGGGGGCAGGGTAGTACTGTTTGGGAGTGAGGGGCTTCAGCAGGGCTGGGGGTGGGCTGTGGCTCATCAGTGAGGGCATGTCACTCCCCCCCCGGTGTTCTTGCTAAGGCTTGGAAACACCCTTAGCTACTTTCTAATTACCTTTAAAAAATATTTCTGTGTTCCAGGAAGTCTCTTATAGAGACCTCATCTTCATGTAAGCTCTTATCTTTAATCCACAGTGATGATGAAGGGGACGATGAGGAAGAGGAAGAAGAGGAGGAAGAGGAAGAAGAGGAGGAAGAGGACGAAGAGGAGGAGGAAGAGGAGCAGCCGCAACAGTTGCAGGAGAGAGGGCAGGGAGAACAAGAATTACTGCCTTCTAAGAAGATCCTTGATTCGCATGTAAACTAACTGAAGCTTAACTTTCACTTCCTCGCGTAGGGGAAGGGAGGAGACAAGGTTCAGAATGGGGAGGATGTTTGGAATATGAGAACCTGGCTGGAGTCCTTATGCCTTTAAGGACCTAGCAGCTCTCTGTTCATGGGTTTGTGGGGTGTAAAATACGGAAGGGTGGAAAATTGTTAATCAGAAGGGGGGTGGAAAAAAGCAGGAAGACAATGTCCTGGAACTGGCTAATCATAGTATTTGCTGCACAAGTTTCCCACAATTCTGACAATGCAGCCACCCATCTCCATTATTTTCCAGTTGTGTGGGTTGTTTTTTTTGTCCCTAGTGTTCAAGTTCTGACCTGTAACACTCTTGCCTGTTCTAGCGGCATCCTTCCCTACAAAGTCATACATGCATGTAGCTGGACATGATTCCACAGAATGAACTGAGATCTGATCCTATGTTTCAGGGCTCCCCAGTGTCTTCTCCTCCAATAGATGTTGCCACATTCCTTGCTTTCCCATCTCCAGAGAAGCTGGTGCGGCTAGGGCCCAAGTGTTCTGTTTTGATAGCTCAGCAGGTAAGTAGGCCAGTGTCTTCAATGTGGCTGGTATCATAGGTGGTGGCTGTTCTGCTTAATCCTGGCAAGTGGTCTCTTCCATAAGCTTTACAATCCAGATTTAAGTCCTCCTGTTGTCCAAATGGACATGGTGGAGAAATACTTCACTTGAGGTGGCACCTCTGGAGAAGCTATAGTGCCAGCAGAGCAGGTCCACTTTTTGGCATAGCTTATGCATCATGATACAGCTGAGACTCCCTTGGTGTCCAGTCATTTGGAGGCTGCTGTTGCAATGTTCATTGCTTATGAAGTGACAGCACCTGTAATGGACTCAATGGCTCCTGATTTTCATCTTTTTCAGACAGATGCAGCTGATACAGAGAAGGTGGCTACAGCTTTCCTCAAGATCTCTTCTGTGTTTAAGGATGAAGCCCCAGTGAAAACAGCTGTTCATGAGACAACAGGTAACTCACTCTCTCCATCTGATGGGGGTTACTGTGGAGAGCCCAACCAGTAGCTGCAGCTTCTAAATTGCTCTAGTTTCCCTTTTAAGTTGTTTTTTCATCTTCCTCTTGTTCATCCTCCTGTTTTTCTAAGTCTGTTCTGTCCTTTTAATGTAAGTTGCCCTGAGCCTTTGTTGGGAAGAGCTTGGGTTTTATAAATCAAATAAATGGCACAACGGTAGCCATCCTGGACTACCATTTTATGGCAGCCCTGTCCCAATGATAGCCAGTGCTAGATATTTGAAAGAAAGACTGACATCCTGTTTTGAGAAGTGTAAAGGTGCAAAACCTCTGCCTGACCTCGGCTTATTCCTCAAAGTATGAGAAACAAAATCCATTTGAGCTCTCCTTTTAATCAGTGTTTCTCCATTTGACTCTTTTGGTGGACTCCCATTGAAGTTTCTCCTAACAGCCAGTGGCAATGAATCCCATAGTTGAGTTGCACCTCATGTACAAGGAGATTATAATTTTTAAATGGATTAGATAACAAGTATCCCTTCCACTTTTGAGGCATTTGATGTTCCTTATACTAGTAACTTTGATATCTCTCATCTTCCTTGACAAATGGAATTGGAAAACTTCCCCCAAAAAGCATGGGACAGGGTGCTGAAGGTATGCATAGGGATACCGTTCTTTGCAGGCCTTAGAAGAGCACTGGCCCAGTATACCTCGTCCACACGCTTCTTCTGGCACAGTTTGTAGACTGTATGAATCAATTGACTGAGGTTTCCATGAAATCCTTGGGGCTCCACTGGGATGCAGAGGTGCTTCTGCTCTTGGGCTGGGGAGGAAAATTATCTGTTCTTTTCATCCCTAAAAATCCACCAGCAGTATTCATTCCTATGCAAAAAGTACAGAAGGTTACCCTTTGAAGTAGCATCTCTTTAAACTCTTGTTACTAATGCACAATTAACAATGGACTCCTAGCTTACACGTATGGTATCTTGTGTGTACTTTAAATGCCCCTAGTTGCTGAAGCCACTTTGCCTCAGTGGCATAACCAAAATGGCCAGCTAGCCTTGTTCTGGAATAAACAGGAGATCCATACATGATTCTGAGCTCTGTCTTAGCTTCTGTGGGAACTGAAATCTAAAGTAAAACCAGTGGAAAATGTCCTGGTTGTCCAGAGATGCTTCATAACTATTCCCTTATCCATAGCTTCTCCTTGGAAGCTGAGATGGTGACTGGTTGATATAATAGTTTCTTGAGGATGAGACATCTGTCTTATTAACTGTTTTCCTCCGAGGATACCTGACGTTGGCCCCACAGCTGTCCTACTTCAAAAAAAAACCCCCAAGATGGACAAAGATCAGTGCCAAAAATGACTAGTTCTTTGTTCTCAAGACCATAAACCTATTCCCTGAAAATACCATCTGTTGATGGATTTGATTTCAGTCCAGTGGAAGTCTATTTCTTGTATTTTTAAGGGCAAAATCCCTTCCCTCACTGAGTTGTGTACCCTCCAAGCTCATCAAGTTAAGGTTCTTGCCGTATCTATGGCTTCAGTCATGGACTTTCCATAGGCCTCATAAAGCCTCAGTCCTGAGGACTAGAATCCATGTAACTTAGCTGTCTCTCCAGTCTGTTTTGAACTCTGAGACCCTGCGTGGAGACCACTTGCAAGAGCAGAGACTTATTTATATATATGTATTAAGGCAGGGTCTCCAACCCTTTTAAGGTGAAGATCACTTTTTGAAGTAAAGGGCAACACAAGATCTACCACTTTCTTCCCCCCCCTGCTTTACAGGTCAGTCTGGGGCAGGGTGCAGATCAAGGCCTTCATGGTGAGAGGTATAGTGGGGCCCTGGCCAGGCCAGGGGAGGGTCAGAGCCTGGGCAGCTCACTTTGGAGGGGAGGAGGCAGCTTTTGCTGCTGCACACATCCTGGCAAAGGTCTGGGGGCATAAGCGGAGGAAGAAAAAATTTATTTGGGGCTGAGCCCCCCAAATGAGTTGCAGGACTAAGCCATGAATGGCTTATTGGGGGAGGGGGGAGCGCCTGGTACAGGGAGGGGAGGGTGGCTCCCCTCAATGGCATGCACCCCAGGAGGGCATGGGGGGGGGTGCCCCCAGATCTGCTTTGGGGGAGGTGGGCTGTGGGCTGGGGTCAGGGCTAAGCTGGGCTCTTCCCAGTGGGGGTTGGGGTGCTGGGCCGGGCTGCACTCGGTGCAGGTGGTAGTGGCACTGGAGGGGCTTGCGCTCGGTGCTGGGCCGGGCTGTACTTGGGTTGGGTAGGCTACAGCAAACTTTGGGGTAACTGCAGCCCCCCTGCCAGAAAGAGCCTGGCTTAGCCCCGGCCCCAGCCTTTAGCTGAAGCCTGCCTCCCCCTGCACAGATCCAGGGGCACATAGCCCCCCATGCCCTCCTGGGGGTGCACGCAGTGGCAGGAGCCGCCCCCCATCCCTGCGCCAGGCACCCCCGGACAAACCACTCACGGCTCTGTCCTACACTCCAGCCCACTCCCACTCCCTCCACACCCCTGCTGCAGCTACCGGAAGCCCATGGCTGGGTTGCCTTGTCACCCTACCGCTGTCCTGTGTTTGGGAGGGCTAAGCCCCATTAGCCCCCATTCCCCCTCCCCACCAAATCTGTGTGTGGGGCAAGGAGACTGCCACTGCACACGGGGCTTTGCACCCTGAGCAGGCTACGATCAACTGTCAGAGGCTCCCCGATCGACTGGTTGATGACCACTGTATTAAGGTATTGCATCAAAGCCTTCTAACTAGTCAAGGTCTTTTGTTGTCAGTAGCGATCTTGACCTAAAACCTGTAGCTAGGTCCCATTTCTGTGGCATTCCAGTGCTGTAAATAAGGAATTGAAGCAACTTCAATAAACTGAATGTAGCTGGGCCTGATTTTTGTGATGAAGAATAGCCACCGCAATATTCTGTGTTCTCTAACTCAATACATGTATTTCTTCCTAGATGCCTTAATGAGAAAAGCCTTCACTTCTGCCACCTTTAATTCTGACACGTTCATCACCAGCCTGCTAATCCACATGGGTCTGCTCAAGGTGAGAGGGCAGGAAGGGGTTAAAAGCAATGACAAGAGCTGTGTTTCATTTTCTGGTTGGATTGTGGGTAATCATGTTGCCTTGGAGACAGGAACATTAAAGCTCCTGTGCCTGCATGGTGCCTAGGGACAATAGCACTCTGCAGAGATAACAGGGATTCCAAAGAGCAGGATTCTGCTAGAGTGCAGGAGGTGGATTAGTTATGCCTAATTTACGTTCTATTTGGCCTGGCTTGTCTTTTTCAAGATCACATCTCTAAGGCAAGGAGGATCATGCAAACAGATCTGTCTGCTGCCATACCGAAGCTTTTATAGAAACCCATAAAATGCTACACAAGTAGTTTGACAACTTATAATGCTTATGAATCTCTTCTTCATCTTCCTTGTATCTATAAAGACTGCTCTTAAGATTTTTCTTTTTTTTATAAAGGACAGTATCAAACATAATAGAAATCTGATCAATTGGATTGAAACATTTAACAGTCTCCTCAATGCTTGCAAAGGAAGAGTGTCTAGTGCATGCCTACACAGGAGAGAACCTCTTGGCAAGGTTGCTATGTAATAATCTGCAACAAGATAGTTAACAACATTAGGATGAGCACAGAGGATTTGCTGAGGTGAATTTAGGATGGGTAGGGCTTTCTGCTTGTAAGCTAAAAGTGGTACTCTTCAATGTCATCTACAGACCTAAAGCTTCTAGCCCCTGGAACTAGGAAGTTTAATGAGGGACATTTTTTCCTAGAGCCTAGGGGCGGGGAAAAAAATCAACAAATCCATGAAATACCACAATCAGTAAACCTTTCACAGCATGTTTCTATCTGCATGCCTTCCTGGAGTTTTCCCTTTGCTTAGGGGAACAGTGTTGACAAGCTGGGAACTGAGAAGCATCTTAAAAATGTATTTCTCTGGCACTCCCACATGGGAGTACAGTGCTAACTAATCCCTGTCCATAACTGCTGACTGGCAGCTGTAGAGCCCTATCTAGTTTTGTAGTCCTCTGCTTTGTGGGACATCTTGTTCTAGTCTTCCTGTTTTCTGCCCCCTGTCCCTAATTACTACAGATGTTGAACAACTTGAAGATGTTCTGCCCCCTATCTCATTTGACTTCCTTTAGAATCCTAGACCAACTTACTAGGGGAGCAGAGCTAGCAAGACTGTCATTCACTGTTGGCCAAACCCTTTTCTGGCTTGTGGGCATGTAACCCATTTAGGGTGGTGTGCCTATCCATTAATAGGGAATTTGTGTCTGTGTTTTTGAGTATCTTTCTCGCACTTTATACATGAGGCAATAGCTGGACCTGTTCAAATGCAATTCATTTTTAATGCAGTCAAGGGCAAAGTCATACATCTAACAACACATGATACAGGTTGTGGCAGGAGGGGTTGTAGCCTGGAAAGCAGCGACTAAAAATGGTTTAGGGTCCTGGGAACAAACAACTTGGCATCATGCTAGGAGGGAAAAGAAGTTAACGAAATAATTAAGTAACAGAGGTAAAGACTTACTTTCTGGCTCCAAATGCTAAGACTAGTACTGAGATGCTGTTTTCTTTTCTGTTCACACTCGAAGGGATTCAGAGGAACTGGAGATGGCACAGAAAAGGGCCACAATGTTTTGAAGGGATAGAGGAAAGACTTTTCAGTGAAAGATTTAAGGAGTTCAGTCTGGTTATCTTATCAAAGATTTGAGGGTTCTTCACTGGCATGCAAGCTCTTTGTGAAAGGGTACACAGAGCACTAAAGGGTTCTTTAATCCAGCATAGAAAGGTGTAACAAGAACCAGTGGCTGGAAGCTAAAGCCAGACAGGCCCAAATGAAAAACAAATGCTTTATTTCTAACTAACAAGGAGAAGGTGATTTCCCCAAGGGAGAGGCAGATTCTCTATTTCATTGCCAACTGAAATCTGGAGTCCTTGATTTTATTTATTTATTTATTTATTTTTTTTAAAGCTGCTCTTCCAAACACAAGCCACCAGATTCAGTGTAGGGCTGACCTGGATGATCAGATGGTCTCTTCTAAGCTCCAAGAAGTAGTTATGTAGGGGATCTAAAAACAGTATACTGTGGGTGGAGAGGGTGCAGAAGGGATTAACTGCATCTTCTGACAGACCCTCAGGAGCTGTTGCTTTCCCACTCAACTGGAGTGAGTATCTTGGCACGGGATCTCTGGGAAAGAAAATCCTGGAGGAAATGTACATGTACATGTATTAATCTTCCCCACACCCAAGCTCATAAGACAGCTTGAATTAGGACAGACAGGAGTCTTGGTGCTTGCATGTTTGACATGCAGACTTTGGGAGAAATGGGAGGGGAGGGTGTGGGGGACTGACTCGTCCTAAAGAACATGGTGTGCATACTGCAGTAGGCAGCTCTCCCTTTTATAGCAGATGGAAACTTCAGTTCAACATATAGAAAAAATTATGCTGTCTGTCATAGGCATCGGCTTCTGCATCTTGGAAGTCCTCTGTTTACATCAACCAGAGTAAAATTTCTTGCTTTTGTTTAGCGTTTGTCTGGTAGCAAAAGAGGTGAATGACTTTTCCTTTTGAGGTATCTGCTGTTGTCTGACCAGCCAGGATGGAGAATGAGAAAAAGCAGGGACTCAAAGGCACTTAGTGGGACAGTTCTGCATGACTGACTTTTTGTTCATCTTTACCTCTGCCTCCACAGAGTGAAGAGAAGATAAAGACTGTTCCAAGCCTATATGGCCCACTTATGACTCTGAACCATGTGGTCCAACAGGACTATTTTCCCAAATCCCTGGCGCCAGTTCTCCTGGCCTTTGTGACAAAGTGAGTATTACATCTAGCTAGTAGGCATTAATGTTTAGAAGCCTGCATATAGATTAATAAATATGTGCATTTCCTTCCATCACAACCCCTTGTGTACTATGGTTCTGACCTTATGTAGCCTTGTGGTTATAAAGATAATATCAAATATGTATGGAATGGAATTCATGCCCATCTCACTGTAGCGAGATGTGAAGTGCCTTGATCAACTTGTTTAGTTCCATGTAGGCACTGCAGTTCAGCTGTGGAGTCTGAGATGTTTCTAGAGTTCAGCATTTCTTTTCAAGAACTCTGTTTTTGCTGCTGGGTGCACAGCATTTTATTTGTCTCTACACCTTGCTGGGTTATGCTTGCAACTTCCTTTCTTGACTCCTTTCCTTAAAAGAAGGGAAATAGAACATAACATGTTTCCTTCACTGTTCTTCTAGAACCAAGTAGAAGGGAGTCGAAGCTCCAGTCCAGTCTGCAGTCAAAAGTGCTAGTTCAGCAGTCCCACAGATTTTTCCCCAGGGGAGCACTTGTTTGGGATTCCAGCCTTGTATAGTCTTTGGGAATTTCCTGAAGCCAGCCCAGGTATAGCTTCTAGAGTGGCTGAAGCACTGGCTGCTTGGACTCTTAAGACCTGGCCATTTGCTCCATGATATCTCTTCCTTGCCTCCCCCATCCTTCCCCTTCCACCCACACATACACATTGCTTTATCTGCAGCCCTTCCTCAGAGATCTACTTTCTGGCTAGAGAGGGACTTTCTGGTTAGTCCTAGAGAGGGACTTTACCTCTTTTAAAGAGAATGGAGTGCATCTGAAGTCAAAATCAGTAAGGCACTTGGCTCTTAAAACCACCCTTTATTGGTCTACAGCAGATGGGTTCTCCTCCAAAGCCTATGCAGTTTATCAAGGTCTTGATAGATTGGAAAGCTGGGCTGGCGCTAACAGGATGAAGTTGAGTGCTGACAAATGCCAGGTGCTATATTTCAAGAAGAATAATCAAAACATCCAAATACAAGATAGGTGACACTTGGCTAGGTGGCAGAACTACCAGGAAGGATCTAGGAGTCTTGGTGGATCACAGATGCAGGAGGTGATAGTGTCTCTCTTTACACAGCACTGGACAGACCTCATCTAGAGTATTGTGTGTGGCTTTTGGGCTTCACATCTTAAGAAGCAGATCCTGTTTTTTTTATAAAGAGTGGGTATGGGAGTAGTAACCAGGGGTGTTTGCATCTGCAACTCCCTGCCTCCTCCCTCCCCTGCTGCCCATCTGGGTGGCAAGACCATGACCTGAGAGCAGCAGCTGAAGACTCAAGTCCTGAAGAAAATAAACATTCTTCCCCATCCCACTTCTCCTCCATGCTCAGAGGCACCTCTTCTTTCCTCCGCCTGCTGCTCCTGTCCACCCTGTCCTTAAGGGAGGCGGGGAGCTCTTGTTCCACTCCAGGTGGGCTGTATGGGGGCTGGACTCAACCTGGGATACTGGTGGTGGGTGGGCAGACTTTTCTTCTCCATTGCTGCTCCCTTCAGGTATTTTCTCCCCACCCCCCAGTCTGGGAGCCGGCACAGGGAAGAGGAACCTGTCTGCCTACTGCCACCATTGCAGGCTGAACCCAGCCCTGCACAACCTGGCTGGAGTGGGACAGGAGCTCCCCTCACTCCCAGGACAGAAAGGACACTGGCAGTGACAGGGGAGGGGACATGCCTCTGACTGCAGGGGGGAAGGTAGAAAGGGAATTCTTATGTTCAGGATTTAAAGTCCCCTGGCTGCTGCTCCTGCCACATGGTTAGAAGGTGAGATTTAGTCTTGCCACTGCACCCCTTTCTAGATCAGGCTCTGGGCACAGAGTTAGAGAATCCAGAGGCAGGTGACAAAAAATGACTTGTAATCCAAACCCTTTATCATATGAAGGTAGCCTGAAGGAAATAGGCATGTTCAACTTGTGGAAAAGCTGCTTAAGAGGGGACAAGGTGACAGTCTTTTAAATATCATCTGAAAGGCTGCCATAAAAAGGAGGAAAATCACCTTTTCCTCTTGCTGCACAGACCTAGAATTGCACCAATGGCTTGAAGTTGCAGTAAAGTAGATTTAGACTGGCTATCATGAAAAGCCTTTTTGTTCTTCTACAAGTGGGACAATAGAATGGTCTGCAGAATCTTCATCACTGGAGGTGTTGAAGTTGAGCTGTTCTCTCTGTCTGTGAGGCTACTTTGTCCGGCTTCTCTCTCCTTTTGGCTCTGGGCATCTCCCTCTTCAGGACCCTCTCAAGTGCCTCCCTGGCACCAGAAATACCAGGAAGCCTCTTTATGTGCTTGTCTAGAGAACATGTGCTTTGTCAATGTAGGTAACTTCCTCTTTGCTTGCTGACTCATTACACACTAATAGAGCATCTCTGGGACCCAGAGCTGGGCATACTTACCTAATTAACCTCTTGCCCTGTCTAGCTTTGTACACGGGGAAACTGAGGCATGCATACTTAAACCAGATGTCACAACAAAACAATTATCTGTTGCAAGCAAGTACATTAAGTGGAGGTCTGCAGAGCCAAACTATACCTTCAGCAGTTCAAACTCTCCTTGTCTTGCCAAACACAGCACAGGAAGGAGACTTCGAGTCAGACTGCCTGAACAGCATCCTTCTGCCAAAGGCCTGGTTGGTGGAGAACATTTTTAAATACACACAACACTTGAACATAATTTTAAACTGATCCAAACGTGAAGCAGATGGGTGCTGAATTGATTTGTTGTGAACTAGTTCAATGTTGTGCATGGACATATAGCCTTTTGTGACACGTGCAGAGTCAGTCCTCCAGAAATACTGTACTGCATTGCTCCTCATGCCCCTCTTCCACCCCTGCTGTTATAGCTGACTGCTCTGGTACTCCATCAGACCTCTACTGCCCGCTTGTTTTTTTCCTCCCCTCTCTTTTATTGGTGCTTTTATCAGTGAGCTCCCTTGCACTACTTGTTCAATAAAAGTAGTATTTCTAATAAGCAGCTGTGTCTTCATTCCCTGCTTAACTGTAGCTTCTTATCATGTTCCACCTTTCCCCCTCCAGCCCCTGGGAACCCAAAAATGTGGGTTCAAATGTATCTCCCTTCTCCTTGGGCACACCAACTCAAGCAGAACTTTGTCACCTTTTTTGAATTTTATTGAACATACATTTTTGGGATGAGATGGATAGGTAGTGGTTAGTCAGACCAGCACGCTGTTCCCCTCCCACCCCCCGCACAACTCCAATCATTTTGGAGGCAATTAATTCATATTGTTTAGAGAAAATTCACCTCCGAGATACTGAGCTTGGAAAGGGATTTGTTTTACAGGGGTTAGCTGGGGAACTTACGTACACTGAAGACTTAACTTAAGCAACCTCTGTATATGTGAGCAGAATAGTAGTAGTAATAGGTGGTAAAATGACTTACATTTTTCATCCTTCCCTGAAACTTATTGCTATAGTTTTACTAGAATAATTGAGTCCGGAGCCTCTTGTTCACAAGGCTTCATGGCATGAGCTGATCAGCTGTAACACAATTTTGGCCCATGCGAGTTTCCTCCAAAGATTCTAGCGTAAGTTAAAACGGGTGGGCAAAATGGCAGGTTTGGCCAGCAGCCGGACTCCATTTCTCAGGAGCCCCTGCCTGTGTTGCTGCAGCCAGTTTCCATGGAGACCCCAGGAGGGGCAGGGCTATGACAGTTTAGGGCCTGGGTTTCTACAGAGACCAACCCAAGCAGCACTGGCAGTGCTGGGCAGGGAGCTGCTCCAGGGCTGGGGCTGGGATTTTATGGTGGTGACAGCATAGTCCAGAGCTGGGACAGAGGTGCAATCCATTTGCTGCATGCCCCGTGAGGGCAGAGCCACGGCTTGCTGTCTGCGTGCCCCTGCCTGGGGGGTGTGGCAGGAGATCACAGCTCTACCCTGGCTCCAGACCCTGATGTCACCACCACAAAATCCTGGCCCCAGCCCCGGAGCAGCTCCCTGCCCTGCCAGTGCTGCTTGAGCTGCTCTCCCTGGAAACCCTGGCCCTGCGCTGTCGCAGCACCCCCCAGCTCTCCATGGAAACTGGCTGCAGCGACACAGGCAGGGGCTGCTGGGAAATGGAGGCTGCTGCGAGCCAAACTTTGCCCACCCCTGGGTTACATCCTGGATGGGATACAGGACTAGGTATATCAATAGGTAGACTTGCTTTTGGTGTGTTGTATGCATCTGAGGTACTGTCCGAGTAAGGAGGAGTGTTTTGCGTCCATAAGAATTCAGTATAGGCTGACTTGATTTCCTGGTACTACTCTTTCCTGAGACCCTTCTGTCTTCCTTGGAGCTGCTTAAAGAAAGTAGTAATCTGTGGGGGGGGGTTTTGTTGTTGTTGTTTTGTTTTTTTTTCAAGGCCCAGGTGCAGAATAGTCTTCAAACAAACTTTTTTTCTCTCCTGTCTCTACAGGCCTAACCGTGCTCTGGATTCCTGCTCTTTTGCCCGCCACATTCTCTTGCAAACACTTCATCAGCTGTAATAGAAGCATAATGATGTCCTTTTCCCCTTCATAGACTTCATCAGCAGAGAGTTCTTAACTGAATGGCAGGAGGAAGTTTCGGCTTCTGTGGAAACATTCTCTCCATCTCACTGGGATGTCTTTACGTTTTGTTTTGAGTTTTTTCTGCTTCAACAAACTTGGAGGAATCCTGCTGACTTTATTATTTTTAAATTAAATTCCCCACTTCCAAAGCAGACTCCCTGGTCTGCAGAACAATGAGCTCTGCTAGAATGAGTCCTATGGCTCCTTGCTCCACGTGGATCAGAAAGAATCCCTATTTGACTCAAGCTCAATATTTCTGTCCAGTTGTGCCCATACCACCATCTTACAAGAGGTACCATACTTGAGGTTTCTCTGGAGTTGCAGCAGAGTCTGAACCCTACTAAGATTTTTTTGGGGGGGGGGGGGGTAACCATGGCTCCTATATCATGCTGCCCTCTGCTATTATAGAAGATAATAGCAGTGTTTGCTGCTGCTTACCAGATTAACCAGCCCCCTGCTACTGTTCCAGGACTGAGGCATGTTCCTCCTTGCTCTTAGTCTAACCATTGGAGGGTGCTGTGTGGCCCATCTGAATTTTAACGTATGCCCCCTCCGACTGTATATTAAGTCCCCTTCCAGTGGAGCTGACCCTGGTGGTCTTTGCTTATGGAAGCAAGCCTGTTTCGTTGTGATATTGCCATTACCTGCATTTTCCCCTATTTCTAATTAAAATAGGCTTGATTTGGAAATGAGTAGAATCAGTTGAATGCGCATGGAGTAAATGTTTCCTTTCCTCTTTCCTTCTCGCTGCCCCAGTCCCATGTTGTCTCTTACATGTGAATGGGGGACAACTTAAATGGGACAAAATAGAGGTTTTATAGTTGAGGATACTTCACCCTCAGTCTTGGAGATGAAAAAAGCTCTGTTTAGTAACAAGAAATACCGAAGGGTCTTAATTCTATTAAAATATGGGGGATTATTTACCTGCAAATGACAGTTCAGGGTCAAATTTTGTCTTTGCACTAACTCGTGTCCCCTCCATAGATATTCAGGTCACTGGGAACTAACTGCATGATATGTTTCTGCTCATTGTAGTGTTTCCCTTGGGGTGGAAAGGGACAAGAGGAGATGTCTTCCGTTAATATATTCCTCATTTAATTCTCCTGGAATGGTTTCTAGTCATCAGCATAAAGAAGCTGCTCTTGGAATTTTTATCTTTTACTATGAAAGCAGAGATAAAAGTCCCCTCCAGTTCCTTCTTGGCACAGCTGGAAAGGACCATAAGTTCCAGGTTGGTTTTTAATGGTCTACTGCCTACGAGGTAGGGATTAGTTGAGTAACACATTCCCCAAGTGGCAGGAGCTAAAGAGGGTAAAGGCTGGGAAATCTGGAGCTTATCCACGAGGTCTTGGGTGTGGTAGCTGGTGAGAATAAGAAAAGGTTTTTCCTTCTCCAGGAGGTCATCCATATCCATGTCAAGCTTGGTGATTTTTCTGCCTTAGCAGGCCTCATACCACATGTGCCTCACTCTACCTTTCCTTATGTTGTCAGCACACAGCACAAAAGATGGTATATATTTCCTATTCTTCTCAACTGCTTTGCCTCTAGATAGTCCTTTTCCTGTAGCTTGCAGTCTGCCCTCACCTTTTGAAGTCTGTTTTCCCCAACTTTAATTCTTTTTTTCTCTGAACTCCCTGAGAGTGGTGTGATTTGTTTCTACTTTGGGGTCCTTGACTTCCTTTCCTTTCTGTTCTGGCCTATTGGGCATCTCTGTTTCATGCTATAGGTGCAACCATAAGCTATTCCTGTCCTCTTAAGGGGTCTGGATTTCTGAAGGAAGTGCAGAATGCTGTGTAGAGGACCTCCCCTTTTTAGAGGAGTGGAGCTTGTTATCTGCAAGGCTCAAGCAGTGCCTTCAAGACTGGTGGGGGGCTCTTTTAACAAATTCATGGTCAACAAACCTGCCCCCATACATAAGCACATACTGGTCCATATTCCAGGCAGGCATTCTAAGTTAGCCCTCTTCTCTGTTCATGTATTGGCTATACATGAGTCACTGAGAGTGTGTCAGTGCTTTCATTTTCCAGAAGCACTTTTCTGTGACGCATTCTTTCCAGCATCTTTTACTAACCAGGCAAAATAGCTGATGTGAGCAGATGTACCTCACCTTTCCAAACTTTGTCCTTCTCGTTCTTCCCTTTCAACAACTGTTTGCCCCATGATTTGAGGATCTGGCTGAGATAACCAGTAGGTGCTAGGTACCATCATAGCCAGTTATACCATCTGATTCAGTTTGCTGCCCATTACCAATTCACCTTCCTTGTCCCATCTCAGGGGACTAGCCACAGAGAAAATGGGAACTTTTGCTACATGACAGTGGGGAGAGGTTTTTGCCCTGTAAAAGGAAGGGGTATGATGTCCCATGGTGGTCCCATGATCTTGCCCTGTCCACAATAAGACAGACTGGTTCAGATCTTTCAACCTTCAGGGCAGTTTCATATTGCCATTGGGCCCTCCCATGAGAGAGAACTGCAATTTTCATTGGGCTAGATGTATTATCAGTACAAGGAGCTCTTAGGAGGCTGAATGGAAGAATGAAAAGCTGTCTCCAAATGCTTTGCAGTGCTGGTGGCCTGTATCAGGAGAGAGAACATGTTGGTGTATTACCTAGATTTCCCTTCACCAGTCAACTCCAAGCATGAAGACCCTCTGCTGCTTTTCACTATGCAGCTGTTCCAAGCACAGAGTTGGAACATTCAAAAGCTGACACCTTTTTTGAAGACCAGGCTATTTCTAGTGTCTACGCTGGACTCTGTCAGGAGCAGGCTACATCTCATAAGATGAGGCTCAGTAATGACTGGAACTTTTGCCAGGGTGGTCTCAACCTTCAAGATGTCAGTGAGGACTTGTCTGTCCATTCTAGGTCATGCAGCCTCTTGTACCTTCATGCTAAACTTTACCTCAAATGCATGCACTTTATTTTCAGGATCTTGTGCAGGCATCTCATGTAGAAATTGGTCAGTCCCCTGATATGTCTAATGCATGTAGTCTGTGTTTTTGAACCATAAAGCAGAGATGACAGCACACAAGTCTTGTAGATTTGCATCTTTGCTTTTGTTATTCCATGCACGTTCTATAGTAGCCCAAAATTCTTAGCTGCTTTTTTTGATTCTGTTAGTTCAGTCTGAAGGGCAAGATTCCAGCTGATCATAGAACCCAAGTAGCAATAGCTGTCAAGGACACCAAGAGATTTACTCTCCGGAGTGATGTCAGGCACTGGTTATTCCACTCCTTGGAACATGATCACAGTCTTCCTGAGGCTAATTGTCAACCCAAAGCTCTTGCATGATGCAGAAAATCTGTCCAAGAGATTTTGCAGGGAAGATTCACTGTGGGTAACCAAAGCCGTGTCATTGGTAAACAGGAAATCTCTCAGAACCAGCTCTTTCACCTTGGTTTTCACTCTAAACCTTGCAATGTTAAACAAGCCTCCATCTAGTCTCATTTGAAGATAAATGCCATCATTGCTGTCTTTGAATGTATGAAGAAGTAAGAATGAAAAGTAGATGTTAAAGAGCACAGGGACTAAGACACACCCCTGTTTCACCCTGTTGTTGATATCAAAGGCATTTGATTCTTGTTTTCATACACTACAGTTACCTTCATACATTGATGTAGTGAGCAAATGATGTTCAACAGTTTAGGGGGGATGGCCCAATTTCTTCAGAACCATAAAAAGGTCCTACTTGACCGTACTGAAGGCCTGCATCAGATTGAAGGCTATGTACGGTGGTATTCGTTTTTCTCTATGCTTCTCTTGCAGCGCTTGACTAAAAATATCACATCAGTGGTGGAGCATCCTGAGCAAAAAGTGCATTGACTTTCAGGATAGAACTTTCACCTAGAGATTGCAGCCTTGGGAGTATCGTGCGAGTAACAACTTTTCTGACGTTGTTCAACAGGGAGGTGACTTATAAATGCAAGAACTCTCGTCTTCCAGAGAGAAACTTCATGTCAATGTCCTGCAGCTTGGATCAGTACAAAGTGCACAATAGGAGTTTCTAAATAACCTGGAAATATTGCAATCCAGACCATGACATACAGTACTACTGTTTGTATTCTACATTGAATGAGAAGGCTGGGGAGCAGTCAGCCTCTGGATTGAGTGTGTCCACTATCAGATGGGTATCTTGGTGGTGCATCTTCCAGAGACTCGGAGAATACCAAAGTGGATGGTCTTGGCATCCCTGCACCACAAATGGAAAACAAAGAGCTCTGTCCTTTATGCCATTTTTATAGATTGAGGTTGAATTCTAGATGCCTTGTTTTTGTTTTGTCCTTTAACAAGAAGTGCCCTTCATTCTGTTTCGAAGGAGGGTGAAAGTCAATCCTCACTCCTTGTCTGATGGTTTTTCTTATCCCATGGTCACAAACTCCTTTTTGCCTTCCTGCTCATGCCTTTTTATTGTGTAAATGCTTTGCAGATAAAGACAAGATCCTACCTGCCAATCTTACTAGCTCTAGCCTGATCAAGTTACATGAGTAACTGATCAAGGCAACCTGCTCTAAAACCTTTGGATAGTAGGGAAAAGCACTGGGGCACTGGCAGCTCCCACAATTTCTTGCTCAGAATCAAGAGAGGATACTTCACTGTGACAAGCTCCATGGGTGCCCTAGAGTTCCAAACCTTTCCAGCTGGGGTCTACATCTACTAGACACCAGGTTCCCTGGACACCTTCTCCCTTGGAGGCTTCTTTTAAATCCTTTGTCCTCCTTGACTAGATGAGTAGATAACGACCAGAGATCACTCTGCATTTCTTCCTCACTTCAGACCTGTGTTGTGAACATGGGTGTCTACACTGATGTGCCTATTAATGGATTTTTCCTTTGAAATGCAATTGGTTATTATATATGAGTAGACCCTCTCAAAGCCACTCAGCCAGACTTCTTACACTGGAGGCAAGATGCAGGAACTGGTTGTTGACTAATCAAACCAGTTATGCTGGTCTATGAACCAACTTATGCCTTGTTAAGTATGCAGATTATATAAAAATATAAAGCAGTCTGATATTGGGTACTTATGGTCACTTGTGTTTTTATAAGTGACCCAGATGAACATAGCTTGTTCTCAGCTGTTGATAAAGACCACACTTGATGTTGGATCCAATTTTGGGGAGGAATATCTTGTTATGTATAAATAATGTTTCCTTGTACCCTGTGACATTCACCAAGACGGACCCACTGCAGCATGAATATTGGGTGGCTTTTAGAGTGGGGCAGTCCTGTTTCTCCCAAGTCAGAGACATTCTTATTCATTGCTCCCAGCTTCCAACCAAGCTCTATTGTCACCTTGGCAAGAAGTGGGTGAGATTCAAGCATTAATAATATAGGAAAGATTTGCCATCTAGCTGGATAAGGTATCCTTGAGGACTTGCCCCGAGTGCCTTCCTTACCTTCAACCAGACATCAGCCACCAAATCATCTTATGGCTTTGTCCCCCAAGCCTCATCCCTTCCAAGCAGGGACATGCTTTCACATGATTGACGTGAAAATATCTTTGTCCTTTTTACCTATGCAGGATTCAGCCTTCCAGAATCTCTCTAGCTGGCTGTTTTGTTCTTCCAAAGGTGTAGTAACACTAGTTCACAGCTGTACTGTGTTTGAAGTGTGCCCTGTGATGGCTAAGGGTGGTCATTAATTGGTGGCAGTCAGAGCTCATTCCTGCAGAGACTCCATGACTTCAGTGGCTTCCCAAAGGAGTGTAGTAGAGCCCAGGCCACTTATATCTCAGCAGCAGGTTCTTGAACTAAAAAAATGACCCACGCAAAGGGCATTGCTTCTCTGTTCAACTAGAGCACAGCAGCTGTCCCATGCAGCTGTTTGGGGAAGCTTTGCAAGAAAAGCTGCAGCAAAGAGCAGCAGTTTATGACTCTCTGCTGCTGGATTCTTAACAAACCCTCATCTTGGCAGGGGTTTTAGGAACCTTTCTGCTCTCAGCATGGCACACAAGGATGTGTGGGCTGTGTTAACATAACTACTGCTTTAAGCAAGTGTTCTGGATACTTTCCTTTTTTGAGGTGCATGTGCCTTGCAGTGAGACTGCATCAACCACAGCTTGAATTCTGGTTGCTGGTAAGCAACTCCCCTTCTTTCTCTTGGGTGGGCTTTATAAGGACAAAGGGTTAGTACTAGTGGCTATGTGTTCCCTGAAGTGCAGCTTTCCTGATCCCCTTCTCCAAGCTGTACAGTGCTGTGGGTAGCTGACCCACAAAAAAGCGCTGACCACCTTGCTGCTGTCTAGTGTCCTGCTCCTTTGCTTAAGTCGATTTTTATGTATTGTGAAGCTTAAACTGCCCCATTCACAGGGGACGATTGTACCCGTGCCAACTTTGTCCTTGTACCCCAACTTCTTCAGGAGCTTCCCACCTACTGAAGGGTCAAAGTTTCATAGTTAAACCCTAACCACCAAGCTTGAGGAGGTGGTGTCTACACATACCAGTACTCCCAATTGGCCTTTACCTTGGGACTCTTGGGCTGGAGGACAGGGGCTGTTGCTCAGAAGAGAGGAGAGTATCTTCTGTCCCTGAATTTGCATGTCCTTGCTAGTTGCCTTGGGTACAGATATATTCTTTTTTTCTAGCTATGGATGTAGGAAGCACTGCAGTGCTATACCTTAGCACACAAGGGAACAGATCCTCTCATCCAGTATGTGACAGAAACCCAGGTTGGGCCATCACATTTGTGTGCAATGTCATCAATTCTGTAAGCAAGCAGCTGGAGCACAACAGCTCAAAATAAACCATGCAGGCTGTGTGTGGATTTCTTGCAGTTGATATTTTCATGATGTATACTGATGTCCCTGCATGCTATACCAGTCTTACAGATGCCTACTGTGTGGAGTCGAACTGGTGTCCTGGAGTAGTTGTCTTTACCCATCATAGCTGCATCTAGATGAGCGTAGGCATTTGATTCCCTGGGGACAAGTAGCACACCTTGTGCCACTGCTGCTTGTCCCTGGGCAATGCCTGTGCCACATGTGCTCTGGGACATGGCAGGTTACCCTGGGTGGGGTAGGGGAGACTGGGGCCAGCAACTGTGCTGCTCCAACAGCATTACCAGGGGACATTGGGGAGCTGCAGCCATGGCACTTCTGCAGCTAGGAGCCTGGCTGGCAGTTGGAGCGTGGTTCCAGCCAGCCAGGCTCTGGTTTTGTGTGGTGTGTGCTGCCCCTGCATGTGCCACCCTGCCTTTTTTTTTTTTGCTTGGGTTCTTTTGATCCTGGGATCTTCTGAGGTCAAATCCCCCCACCATGCTGCAAGGTAGCAGCACTGGAAACGCCTTCATGTGTGGTGTGTAGTGCCACAGATGGGTCTACAGCACCTCATACCGCACTTTCATGTTTGCCTGGATGCAACCCATTGGGTTAACTTCCTTACTCCATTGAACCAATTCACTTGGTGCCAACAAGGAAGAATGCATTTCTATTTAATTGATTTTTAAAAGCTTTATTGGTCCAGCAGGGAGGCTGGGAGTGGGGGTGGGTAGCATGATACACAACAATCTTTGTAGATCAGTGCACAAATGATTATTTAATTTTGCAGTAAAAAGGGAAGGGTATGGCTACTATAAACAAAGGTGATGTTTGCTTTCTTCATTGTTTAGCCCTGGCCCTTCTAGTCATTACTCAGCAAATCTCTTCTCTGCTTTTATTGCCAGAAACGTGTTCCTACCCACTACATCTACTGAAACTTCAGTGGCAAGGCTGGGGGTTTTTACCACCTTTGTTATTTACACCTACTGGTTGAAATGCTTTAATGGATTCATAAGACAACATTTTCCCATTGCTGCTTTATTGTGTTCGTGTTCCAGGCTATCCAGCAATAGTGATTTTATTACAAATTTATTGCAGCTGTTCCCAAGATTTTTGGCAGAAGAAGGAAGATGAAAGCATTGATCCAGGGTCTTCCACATCCCAGAAAAATGTAGGCACTAAACTGCTGCATTGAAGGTGGCAAAAAGGAGAGTGATCTCTGCATTCTGAGGCACCAACCAACTTTGATATGACTTAGAATCAGCAGCTCTGGTTTGAGTCAAATTAGACTTGATCTTTACTCCACCAAGATAATCTCTGTCCCTTTTGGTTGGTTAACTTTTTCTTACCTCTGCAGGCTTTTTTTTTGCTTTTTCCTCATTTGCACCTTTTTCACCGCACTAAGGAAGTGCCAAATTAGAGAGAGAGAGAGAGAGAGAATCTCATCATGCTCATAAGATTTTTCAGTCTGGCTACGGCTATATGAAGAACAACCCCTCTCAGCCACTGGCAGTTTGAGTGTCTGGCGTAAATCAGTCAGGGATGGGATTCTAGACCAGCGGTGTTCAACCTCTGCCCTGCAGGTCAAATCCACTCTGCAAGGCTGTATTATCCAGTCCCTGGGCGTCTCTACAGGCCTGGGAATTTGGTGGCAGGGAAGCAATGGTAATTAATTGCTGCAGCTTCCAGAACCACAGCAATTATTATACTTTTGCTGGCACTCCCATGCTGCCAGATTTCCAGACCTGAGGGAGTGCTATGGGCCAGATCACACACCACATCTGGTTGTGCTGTATGGAGTCAGGCCAGCATACCAGACTGTACCTGTAGACAGACCCCACCTTGCTGGATCCAGCTGCTATACTGACCCCAACTGCAAGATCCAGCTGTGGATCAGCCCCATGATCCTCATCTGACCTGCAGGGCTAGAAGGTTGAACACCATGGTTATTGATTATCACTAGCTGTGAAATCTGGTTGCAGGAAGATATGTTGCTTTGTGAGTGACCTAGATACCTGAACAGAGACGGGGACACCTTTTCACCAGTTTCCAAATAGCATGTGGGGCATGAAGTTCTGCACAAGCCTTTCTACAGCAGGGTGGTAGAAACTGTACTGTAAGGCACCTATGCTGTAGGGCACAATCCTGCACAGGAGAGAAGACAAGCCTATGGTATTGGGCCTATTTTATATCGGTGTCTAAGGATCTGACTGACTTTATTGCATCAGTTGTAAGGGTTGGCTACAAACAGTTCAATTCATGCCTTGTGTTCCAACAGGGGTTTGTCCCTGGGGTGGCTGGATGGCCTGATGGTTTTATTCCTGCTCAGCCATTGCATCTCACAGAGCAGCTTTAGAATCAGAGTGTCACATACGTGGGGGTGGGGGTGAGCCAGGGTGGGGTCGCCAGGGTGCAGTCTACTTTCTCCTCTGGCCACTGGCTGGTAGCTGTCATGTAAACATGCTGGTCATCATCCTCCATGTTCTCATAAACTGGGCCCATGGTCACCTTGGCTTGGCCAATGTTGCTGCTGCAATGCGGGAATGACTCATCTTCATCATAGTGGCGCTGGAATTGGATTGGCCGGGCCCATAGTCTGTAAATAATGGCCGCTGCTAGCACCACCAGTACTAGAAGAGTGACGGCGACCCCAATGCCCACTGCAGAGTGGCTGTGTCCAAGTGGGGCATGGATGGGTTGCAGATGGCCTGTGGTGTGCCCTGCTGCGCACTGCTGGGGAGTAGGGGCCAAGCACTCCAAGAGATGCTCATTCTGGGGGATGACACAAACTCTGTACTCAGTCCCTGCAAGGAGACCATGGAGCTCCACCTCAGGCAGGTCACCTATCACCCGCAGCACCTGCTTGTCCCTGCCCTCCTTGTATCGCACCTCAAACTGGTCATGGTCACCAGCAAAGGACCAAGCGACTACTAGAGAAGTATCGCTCTTTGGCCTGATGCTGACACTGGTGATGACACTGGCCAGGCATGGGTCCCATCTCACCAGCGGGTGGTTCTGGGAGGTAGCTAAGTGTGTTGTAGTGGTGGGGGGGGCCCTGGTGGTAAGAAGGGCTGCAGAGGTGGTGGTGGTAAGTGTGGTGGCAGCCTGTGGAAGAGATGGCACAGTGGCTACGGGTGTATTATTCTTCTTGGCTGGGTTCACAGTGGTGGAGTCTGTGCCAAAAGGCGGGCAAGTCAGTTTCTGTAGCTAGAAAGGGAGGAAAAGAAACCCAGATGAGAAATCATTTCCTCCAAGCAGCACTATCTTCCTGACAGTATGGGCAGAGAGAGATCCTTTACTGACAAGCATGGAACAGCCCAGTTGCTCTGGGTCACAGCACCAGACAAGTGGGAGGTGACTTTGAGGGGCGGGTAGGAGTTTAGGACAGGAAGTGAAGAATATCTGATCCAATTAAAATGGAGGGGGAGAGTGGTGCTGGTGAGATAGTAGAATATACTCCACTTGGCATCATCTCTGGCTATTAGGTCAGTTCCTCTTATGAAAACTGGCTTTAGCTCTGTTGTTTGCAAGAACCTTAGGGTGACTACATATCCCTTATTTAAGAATGACTCCATCTCCCGGGTTGAGCCCTGACCTGCTTTACAAAAGCAAGTGTTTTGCACCCTATTTTTATAAACTATCCCTTCTGCATCCACTGGTCCCCTGAGGGAACAACCTGCTAGCTGAGCTGGTCAAACTGGCAGGGGCAGTCTGACTAGCTCTACTGGATCATGGCTGAATGTATCTGGCTCAGCTTCGCACTGAGTTGGTCATACACCAGAGGTCTGCTCTTCCCACTGAGCTTGAGGCCTCTCTCTGAGCGCTCCCACCCATCTCTGCTCAGGCACAGGCTCGCTGCTGGCCCAGCTACATGCAGCTGAGTCCTACCCCTTCCATACGCAGCTGGCTCCTGGCCCACATGGACAGACTGCAACGCTGCCCAGAGCCCATCTCCTTTGCACTGCAAGCGAAAGGGACCGAACAGACCTTAGAGGCAGCTAAAGGAAGGGGAGAAAAGATGCCTAGAGTGAATGCGAGAGAAGGAACGGAGGTGGAAGATATGGGAAGTGGGCAACAGAAGGGGAAGTTCTGGGCTGTCTTGGACACTACCCACATGAGCTTTTATTTAACAACGGCACCAGGGCTCTACTGGCTTAGCTGTGTTGCAGGAGCCCCTAGTGGAGATGTGTCATATGGAAGAAGAAGGGGTTTTGGAGATGGTGAACTTACCCCATGCCTCTGAATAGACAGAAGTTCAGTCAGTGGCATAATTAGGGCAGGGCAAGCAGGCCATGAACCCCAGGCCCCAACTAGGAGGGGGTGCCAGATTTGGTCCCCCCCCACCCCTCCCCGGGGGTGGGGTTTGGGCAGCAGCAGTAGCCTGGGAAGATAAGTCCTTCCTTTACCCACTCCTGCCCCTCCTACCCTCCCATCCATCTACAGAAGTGGGCAAACCCCCAGGCCTCCCCCACGCCCAGGGTGCTCAATGAGCTTGCTAGACCTCAGAGCTCAGCTAGCTACATCAACACGGGGGAGTTTGGTAGCATAGCTGCACTGGGCACAGAACATGACCTGTTCATGCCCTGAGCCTACATGGTAGCGCCTTCAAAACTTCACAGTATCGAGCCTGCTATAAACCACAGCCTGCCATTCTCTGACCAGGGCCCTAGAATCCAGGACTTTCCAAAATGGAGAATGACCTTTGACCTCTTCACCCGCACCCCAACCCAACAAAGAGCTGTTCCTTACAAGAGTTAGGAAGGGAAGTGGAAAAGAGCAGAAGGAGAAAGGAAGGAAACTGAGCCAGAAACACAGAAAATAGTAGGCCGCTACCTCTTTCATTCCTCCTCACCAGCTGCCAAACCTGCCATGAAGGCATCCTCCTGACCTGCAATACACTTACTGCCTCCAAACTCTGAAAGATTACGCCCAACCATTCTTAATACCCCATGGCCCTTCTTTCCTTACTGCTCTCTCCCCATGCTTTGTACAAAGGTTAATGTGCATTATATTCTCTAAAAGCTTTACATTTATGCAGACTGTGGGGTAGACTGTCCCCCTAGCAGCTGACTCACAAAGAATAAAGCTCAAACCTGGAAAGATCGTCACTCCTGGGGAATGGGCTGGTAGAAACCAAAAGGCCAAATTAAAGCTTTTCAGGGGCTAGGGCATAGATAGTAGAGGGTCAATATTCAGGAAATGGAAGCTATCAGCCCATAGGATCCCCACCGTATGCTGTCCAGCCTGCAAAATATTTGTTACATCTGTCTCCTCCAATTTAAAGTATTGTTGCCTTGAAAAATAGCCCTCTTCCCACCAGCACCAGCTCTTGAAGTGAAAGAGAGGAAAAACTTGGCTTGAAGGCCAAAGACTGGCCAGCCTGTGAACACCAAGTACTTACTTCTATATCCACGAGGAGCTGTCCCCGCAGTGCCCTCGGAGAGCTGCATTCGACAGGGCTGCGATCCTGTTGGGTCACCTTCTTCTGCCAGGTCCGAAGCCAGATCAAGCTGCAGTCACAGCGCCACTTGTTCTCAGTCAGATACAGAGTGGAGAGAGACCTCATGGAGGCCAGAGACGGGAGCGACTCCAGGCTGTTGTTTCTCAGGCTCAGGACCTCCAGCCTGTGCAGCCTGGCGAAGGCCAGCGCAGTGATCTTCTCCAGGGAGAGGCTGTCTAGGAACAGCTGGTTCAGCGAGCGGAGCCGCTTCCCAAAGGAGAGCGATGTCAGCTTTCGGATGGGGTTCCCGCTCAGCTGCAGCGTGGAAAGCGTGACGGAGGTGCGGATGACTGTGGGCACATTCTCCAGCTGGTTCTGGTCAAGGTTGAGTGTCCGCAGGCTGCGTGGGAGGGTGCGGACTGACACATTGGAGATATGGTTAGCAGTTAGGTAGAGCCGACGGAGCTGTGAGAGACCACCAAGGGCTTGGTCAGAGAGCTCTACTAGTAGGTTGTTGCTCAGGTCCAGGACACTGAGCTGCTTCAAGGAGGAGAACACTCCTGAGAGAGAGAGAGAGAGAGACGGTGAGAAAAAGGAGTGGGGTGGGGGTGCTGCTCCAGCTGAAATCCTATCCCAAACTATTCCGTGTTCAAACAATCTGTGATCAGGATGCCCCTTGGTCTCCCTCAGCCCTCAGTTCCCCTCTCTCATTTTTCCTGGTTAGGATGCCCTGTATCATGTACGTGCAGGAGGCCTGGTGGCAGCCCTATCTATTCAGAAGCATTGGGGCTCTTGGAGACCCAATGTTTGGACCAGAGATGAGAGGGTAAGAGATGCAGGGCTAGCCATTCTCATTCTTCCTGTAGCCAACCCTTACTGATGCTGGTGACTGCTCCATCTGGAGATACCTGGTGGGAGGTAGGCGATCTGGTTGTGCTGCAGGTGGAGGAAGCTCAGGTTTGTCATGTTCACAAAGACATCCTGTGGGAGCTGCTCAAGGAGGTTGTTGTCCAGGTGAAGGTGGTACAGGTTCCTGACACCCTTAAAAGCCCCCGATGCCACCTGGAGGATGTGACTGCTGCCCAGGTAAAGGCTGGTGATTTCAGGAAGATCCGGGAAGAAGCCTGCTGACAAGATACTGAAACTGTTGTGCTGCAGGTCAAGCTCCACCGTGGTATTGGCAACGCCAATGGGGAGAGCTGAGAGGCTGGCATTGGCACACCGGACCAACTGCTGCAACCAGGAGCAGGAGCAATTCACAGGGCACAGAGTGTCATCTGGGGAGGGCGCGATGGCTGTGATCGGAGTCCACAGCAGTGGCAGAGTGAAGACTGTGATCCAGAGCCCCGACATGGTGCCCTTGCCTGTTGTATAAAGCAGGCAGTGAAATAGCTGGATGCATGTTGCAGAAAGACTTGTGAATAGCAAAGGCCCACCATGATTGTCTCCCCATCCCAGCCTCATTATATTGTTCAGGACTCTGCCCAGAACACGTCTGTATCACCCATTGCTAAGCTCAGCACTGGTTAGATTCTCCTTTCTACAGTGAGGGGGTTGCAGCTGCTAGGGATCTTCCAGCTAGGTTTGGGGGTCTCTCCAAACTGGTTCTTGTGGTCAGACTGCTAGGGATCTCCTGCCTATGGCTAGGTTTGGAGCAGCTGAAGCCCCCTGGCCTGAGTTGGGTTTCAGGCTAGGGCTCAGGTCAGTGTTAGAGAATGGGAAAGTCTCAGGCTGTGTTTATGGTTGGACCTCATAGGGTTCCTCGAGCTAAGTTGATAGCACAGGTAGGTAGCGTTTTCAGGCTAGTGCTAGGCAGGGTGGATCCTGGGGCTCCCCCAGCTAGGTTCTGGATGTGGGGAGTTTCCCAGTGGAAGGGGTAGGCTCAGGGATGGTCACGTTCCCTTTGCTAAAATGGGAATTGTAGCAGCCAAGGAGCTTGCTCTGGGGTCTACTGCTCAGCACACCTCCTTGGAAGTCAGGGCAGTTGACACCCTGCCCTCTGGCCTCCAAACCAAGTCAGTCTTGGGAGCTGCCTGATCAATTTTTTTTTTCACCCTTTTGCATTCGCGACCTTGCAACACGTCCAGGTTTGTCATCTTGTGCCCGTTGGGCTGTTGTTTTGGCTGCATTACAGGAGCATTATTGTCATTTTGTATTTTCCCCTGGTCCAATCCTGGAGCCGCCTTCAGCATATGTCACTGACCTGCCCTGGCTTCCCCTCCCATCATCAACTAGTTTAGCTCATTGAGAGCTAGAAGAGGTCAAAGTCCCCAGACCAGATGAAGGCTGGCTAGTACAAGGTGCACGTGGAAGTGTGGAAGGAATTGCAATAAGCAGATCATATCGGCCTGTCCAGTCCAATAGCCTGCTCCCAACAGTAGCCAGTACCAGATGTCTCAAATGCCACAGGCTAATGACACCCGTATTGCTCCATGTCCAGAGCTGCAGAAGCTTGGTCTTAAACATATTGGATGACATCTGGTCCCTTAGCCTCTCTGGCATGTGGCAGGTGTAGGCTTGATTGCTACTCTTCTTTTTCCAGAGCAGGGCTGGTACCTGAATTAATTACTACCCCAGCACAAGGAAGGTCCAGTCAGTCTCCCTGAGCCCTCCAGCGAGATGCCGCCTCATCAGGAAGGAGACTGAGGTCTCATGCTGCTCTCGCAGGCTTAGAGCACTGCTGAGGCCAGCCAGGGGCCCATACTGAGTGCTCCACACCTCTGCTAAAGCAAAAGTCTTTTCTTTGCTAATATGGAAAGGCTTCTGGGGTTTAAGAGGGGCTTGAATATTCATCAAACCTTGAGCAATTGATTCGTAACAGTTCAGACCAATACACTCTATCCTGCCAGTGCAACGTGATATAACTAGGAGAAAAAGGTTTGCAGTAAACCAGACTGGCCAGTGGGTGGGGTAGCTTTTCCTTCACTTTTCTCCCTTATTTTACTTTCTTCCTCTGCCCGGTTCAGCCTGCCTCTCCTAGCCCTCTGCCTCTGTTTCTCGAATCCCCTCGTCTCCTGCACTGGATCCCCCCTCAGCTGCTATAAATCAACCGTTCTTCATGACTTTACGCTAGCAGAAGACCCAGCCTGGGCCATCTCCCTGCCTACTCCAGTTTCCTTCCTTCCTGTTGCATTCCTGACCCGTCGCCGCAGTCTCTCGTACCCTCGTCTCCTTCTGCCAACAGGTCACCCTCCCCCACAAGCTCCTGAATGGAGGTTGAGTTGTTTAGCCTGAAGCAGATGGAGGGGACAGGAACAGCTGAGGGCCTGGGCTTCCTCCTTTTGTTCACTCGTGACAAAATGGGCCCTTTGGAAAACACTGACTTGGCAATCTGGCTAGCAGGAAATGAAGACCTGGTGTCCTGCTCTCCCCTCCCAATACAATCTTCTCTTGTTTAATGGATGGCTGTGGTCAGGAAAGTGGCTGTTGTAAAATGGCTCCATCTTGCTTCAGCATAACTTCTCCAGGGACCCTCTGCTCAGTTTGCTAACAGAGTCCCTGCGCCGCTCCCAAGGACCTCATGAAGCCAGTGCCCCTCTGGCAGGGGGGTGGCTCCCCACACTGCCAGCTGGCTCACGCCTACCTGAATTGCTCTCTGGTAGGCATGACTGGTAGCAGAGCAGCTCTCGGAGCCCAGTGGACTGTCTGCCGGGCTGGCAGGTAGGATGGTCAGGTAGGACAGTCATCATCACAAGAGCTGTGACACATGTGGATTGGATCTAGGGGCCGCTATGAGAGGGAATACACAGGAAATGCCAAGATGAAGGCCCTGATAAAACCTGACTATCTGCACCTTACAGGCTTTGTTGAATCAACAAAAAATAACCAAATGTCTGCAGACCTCATCCCCTCTGAAATGCTCTCCCCCCTGCTGCCTTGGGGGCAGCAGCACTTTATTCCACATATGGACTTTGCTTCCTGAGCTGAATAGACATCGGCGCAGTAGGGCCCCCAGCACAAGTAACACAAACAGGTTCCTCCATTTGGCTGATAATGCCCCCATGCCAGATCCTGCTTCCAGAGAAATCTGGAGCCACTCTACAGACGCTGAAGAGTCGCTCTGGACCCCGTCAGCACCACTGGGAGATGGACCCAACCCACAACGCTCACTGCACTCGGCCTCCAGAGCCATGACTGCAGTGATTTGTAACAGTGGAAACAACCACTGCAGCTGCTCCTCCTGCATCCCAGAGGGAGGTCAGGGACACTTGGGTGCCTTGGGTAAAGAGGAGGACGGAGGGAGACCCGATCCCCCACCCTTTGCTGTATCAGAGGGGAAGCCACAGCTCTCCTCAGCTGATGCAGGGGCATGTCCCCTTCTTGCTGCAGTCTGCATAGCCTCTGTGTAACTCCACCCTCTCCCAAGGACTTGGCTGCTGTGCTCCTTCTGCCACATGGAGATGTCTTAGTAACAGAAGGTGGGCAGAGGTGGCGCTAATGAAGAGGCCCCTGTTCAGCCAGGCTCAAAGCAAGCAAACAAGTGTGTGCACCAGGGCAGGAGGCAGCTGGTTAGGTTCTTCTGCTCAGCCATGGAGCTGGTCCGTGTGTGATGAGCTGGGGCTACGCTGGCTCAGACTTTGGGGCATGGGTGAGGAAGTAGGGGAAAAGAAACACAGCCTGATGTTTCCCTCCTTGATCCTGCTTGATGCTCCCCTGGAAGAGGAGGCCATCTGGGGCATGCAGCCAGAGAGCTGGAAAAGGCAGAGAAGCATCCACTCACCAGTCAATTTGCTGCCCTTGGGTGTCCTCCTTCTGCTTCCAGCCAGTTGTAAACCTCCAGCTCTCCGTGTCCCCCTGGCTCTCGTGCCCTAGGATCTCACCCATCCAGATACACATCTCTGCACTCTCTACCCTGGTCGTCTCCCTCTTTCGCTTGCCTCCACCTCTGTTGAGCATGGCTCTCTCCCATCAAGTCTCCCTCCCTTGTGGACCTGGTGTGCTCCTGTTTTGTCTCCAATGCAGAAGTCTTATCCTACAGCTCCTCTACATGGGAAACTCTCCATGACCTACAAGACTAGGCCCAGATTGTAGGTGTAGGTGGGTCCTACTCACTGGTTCCTCGCAGCTTTCCCCTCTTGTTACTACTGCAAGCTCTTTGACGCAGAGATGGTATTTTCTCCTATGAAGCTTCAGGCTCATCTGTGGCTGACTGACAGCAGCAGTGGGACCTGGGGATTCATGTTCCTGCCTTACTTCAACTGATAACAACTTCACTCACTTGAAATATCTGCAGTTCATTTTCACCATTTCCTTCAATCACCGACCAAAGCAAAACCCATTTCCAGCAGGCGGCTCCAGTTGTGCAGTAATTCCCCTTTCCACCTGTCCTGCCTTTACCGAGCTTTCCCACACCTGCACTGACATCAGAAGGGTCACCTCTCACTGGACCTTCACGTCCTCTCCTTACCTTGTCTTGAAAGTTGTCCTGGTTGTGGGGTACGTGCTGATCCAATGCTTTAGCTCTTCTCTGAGCGCCCCATCTGGTGCTGCAGCCAGCACAGCCACTGCTGTGGTGAGTCTTCCCCCTTTCAGCTCAAATGCATCCCACAACCCAGATGAAGGAAGCAGTGTCAGGACGCAAGTTGCTTCCTCCAATTGTTCGCAGTGAAAAAGGATACAGATGAGCTGGAGAAAGTAGGGACAACAGAAAAAGAAATAAAGACAGACACAAAATTTGACACAAAAAAAGTTTCAAACACCTGATGTCCAGTCTAGCCCTCCTCTCTCCTGCTGCCTTGCTTGCTAGAGAAAATAAACCATGCTTGAAAACAATGTCCTGCCCTTGAACCAGGCCAAGCCATCATGCTGGCCCGGCTGTGCAAACCATTCCGGCTGGGTTCAATGCCAGATTCAAGAAGTGTGCTCAGGATCTGTTCTCATTGCCCAAGCCACCCTCTCTTCTCGGCTGCATGTCTCACCATTATCCCCCAGGCCTTTTGTGCCTCACAACTGGGAAAAGGCAATCAGGACTTGCAGTAAAGGTGATCTCTTTTATTAGACCAACAAGATTTTTGCAAAAAAAAATTCTTTAATTCAAACTTCCGGGCACAAACACCAGGCATTGGAGAAAAGATTGTAAAAGTTTTCCTGGGTAGAAATGAAAGTTCATAGAAGGCACTTTAGGGGGAGCAGCCCAGCAAGGGCACATTACAACTCTGCACTGTCTCTGAGATTGAATTAAAACAGAAGTGAACAGACATTTGTCTTTGATTCAGGAAATGCAGCCACATGCCTGCAGTGGCTCAGGCCAGCAGCAGGGGGCGCTAGAACACAGCTCTCTGGATGTGCGTTCACTTCCTCTTCCCGCTGTCCCCCAGTTCTCTGGGATTTGCAGTCCAGAATTACAGCAACAGGACTCTTCAAGATGCTCATTCTACCTCCCCGTCTGTCTCTGCACTTGCTGCCAGGTGTATTCTAGAGGCACAAGCACCTTGACTATCACACCCCTAAAACGCCTCGATCCCCAACAATCTCAGAAACTGGAGCTTCTGAGGGGGGTGTCTCCCCCCATCCCTCCAAGGATTACAGGTTTGGGCTATTTGGTCCATAGAGTAAAACTTGGAGTTGTGTGAGGAGCTCTCTCTTGCTGGGAGTTTGTCTCAGCCTGGCCAGACACAAGACACACGTTTGCTGAGGCTTGCCATAAACGGTAGGATCCAGTCTCCTGTCATGCCCCCACTGGAGGTGAGTTGGGCTGTCTTAGGGTCACTGAGCAAGCCAAAGCTTTCCCCTCAGCTTCCAACTTGCACTGTACAACCTGAGCCAGGACATGGTCAGACTGGATGTGAACTCATGCAGTGGCGCATTGGTGTCTGGGGCAGCTGATGTTTTTCTCATTCATCTTGACAGTGTAGACACCAATCCCTGAGGGCGCTCTTTCAGGTGGCAGCCCTATTAACAGCGGTAGTGCAGATTAAAGCACCTGGGAGGAAAGACAATCACCTTACAAGGATTTGGGTAAACTACAGCGAGCAGTTTCACAGCTGGGCGTCACAGGGGTGGACCTCAGGGAGTGCGTTGGTTATTCTTTCTAATCTGACATCTGTTTAGCTGACCAGCTTGGTTTGTTCCCTGTTTGAATGAGTCAAGCTTGGCATTGTAGAAGACATAACACATACCTCCTTCCTCCTGTCATCTTTTTGAAAATCTGTATACAATCCTGGTGGAGTACGCACAGAAGATGCCACAGGGACGCTCTTGCTGCCTGCAGTAATTCACATCATTAGTTGAAAATCAGGAATTGACTTGGGTCCCCATCTTGTGCAATTTCACTTCCTGATACCCAGGGTGTGTTTGGGGCCGTGAATAGGCAGCCAGCTTGTCCATTTTGTACTGTTTCAACACGGAACAATCAAGGGAGACTGTTAAATAGGGGCAACCTGATTTGATCTGGGTCCTCCTTGAAACTAGGTTGCGGTCTCCACACACAAGTCTTTTTGCAAGAAATTCTGAGCGGACACAGGAAAGCTGCAAGTCTTGGCCTCTACTGACAGCCAGTCAACTCAGCCATGGAGACTAGAAAGCAAAAGGTCATGCAGATCCGTGAAAAAGTCAACAGATCTGAGCAAGTCTAACAACTACAGGCCTGGTTAAGAACGCTTGTTCCTGTCATCAAGGGCACACAAGGCAGCGATGTGCCTGGAGCATCCCATCTGGTCGCCTTTGACTCCTTAGCCCCAATGACCAGGTCCCCATTGGCAGCTGGGTCACTTGGAGACAGCTTCCAACACAAGGCCAGAGCAGAGCTTGAAGTCACCCATCTGGAACCATAGCAAGAGGCCTTCATTGCTTGCCACCAGCCCTCAATTCTCCAAAGCACTGCTTTTAATCTGCGGAGTGGTCACAAGGCTTCCTGCCCACCTCCACTGCAAAGCCATGATGACATCCATCATATCTCGCTTGAAAAACAAAGGGTCTGACCCTGCAAAAGCCTCATTCACACAAGGGATCCTAATGGATTTCCCTCCCAAATGAGGGCTCCTTTCCCACCTAGCTAAGAGACTACAGGCAAGGGGTCAGCCTATGTGCCCCTGCAGTATTGTATAGGCTTAACATTGAACACAAGCAGCTGAATTTAGAGAGCAGCAGCAGCAGCCGCAAGTGCTAGTCCAGCCCTGCCATGGACACAAAGAAGCCAGTGTTATGCCTAAGGGTGGGGACGGACATGTCCTACATCACAGCTTCTCATAGACCTCAGCTTTGGGCATCAGGAGGGGGAAAGAAAAAGCAACATCTTGTGCATGTCTTCTCATTGCACTGAGATCTCTTACCCCGCAACTCCCCCTTTTGCTGCCTGCATGGGAAGACACGTTGCCTCTGCAGAGTGAAAAATTCCAGCTGTCTTTCCACTGTGCACTGTCCCGCTCAGGCAGATGCAAGCAGAGAAAGTTTGCATCCAAAACAAGCAGCCTGTATTTGTATTGCTTTTGTCCTCCTGCCCAGCGGTTGTGGGGGGGTGCTTCTGGAGGACAAACTGCTGCTGCAGAGCCCCAGCTCTGCCTGGCGCTGTCCCTCTCCCTCTCCCTCTGACATTACCCTTTTACTTTTTTATTTCATGCACCAGGCAATTTTAGATCATTGCTTCTGGGTTGCGATTATGGGAACATTGTTTCCCCAGTGCCTTTGCACAACAAGAAATCTTGGCAATTACAACTCTGCTAGGGGGGATTTTATATTCTACCTCCCCACCTTGATAATGAATAGATGTAAAGAGAGATTAGACAAATGCACATACTTTATAGATTGTGTTCTTCTTTAAAATAATAGTATGACTGGGATTTTTACATATGGCTCAGGGCCCAACCCTTTCCTAATTAACAGTGCCAAAGTGGACCTACATACCTGCATGCAACTCTGTTCTCCCCTGCTTGAGGCCTGGAAAAAACAAAACAAAACACTTCTCCTTTTAGGATGCACTGTACTTAGCCTTAAGACTACAACACAAAAACAGTGAGGAGGCAGTGAACCCATCTGCATTTGGCATTAACAGTTTTTCAGGACTCAAACAGGATGGAATAGGCTCGTACTTAATAGGTGGGAAAAGATCTGGCCCTAACTGGCTGAGAGGAAACACAGCTCCTAAATCACTCATCACTTTTGAAAACCTTTGCCATGATCTGGCTACTGCAGATCTCTTCTGAAAGGCCAGAATACAGTAATAACAAGCTGAAAGGAAAGAGGCTGATATAAACACATTCAAAATTAAACCAAAAAAACCAACCCCAGACAAACTGCTAGCTTCAGGTAGATTTTTTCCTCGTTCACATTTCAAAAGAACCTCTTTAACGGGTCTGAAGGGCTGAGCATAAGCTCATAAACAGTTTGCACTTCCATCTCCCGATGCAGTCAAACAGAGCTCATGTCACAGAATCAGGCCCTAAATGAGCAAGATGTGTTTGTCTTGCAAGCTGATAGCAGGACCTCACGGTGCTTTATATATACTTGTAACAAAATGCCATTCTGTGCTCCTAAAAGCTTCCAACCTGAGCATTCAGTGAGCGCCAAGGAGTGGATACAACAAACGGATGGAGAGATTGAGGACAAGTGAATCACTATGTTCAGTGCACAGTATGAAAAAAATACAGATCTTATAGAAGTAACAAATGGATAAATAATAGCACATAGTAATAGTAATGCTCTGTGCTACTCACAGCATAGGCAGCTCTCAGGCTGGTTTATGTTACAAAGTGATAGTTGTGTAACTGAGGTCAGATCCTGAGACTGCAGCAGCCCCCAGAAGGCCTATTTGCATCAGCCAGGGAAGGACCCACCTGGATTTAATTAAATAAATGCCTGGAACCAGTATCTAAAGCAACACTCCCTGTAAAATCCACTTTTAGCATACTCCCTTGCACTCCTAACACATTACAGGCTTGCTTCAAAGCCCACTGAAGCGATTGCAGCAGAAAGCAGTTTGAAGATGGAGCCTGCCTGTTTTCTACCCTTGGTGTCCTTGGTTTGCTTTTTGCCTATTACACGCACTTGGAACAATAAAACTAGCCTTCACTCCCCACCTCTTGCTTTACCATCCCTTAGACACCAGAGTCTATCATCTTCTACTAGATCAGTGGCAAATCTCTCCTAGCAGTATCAGGGCTGATCCAGACTGAATCCTGTAAAAAATATCTTATCATTTAAATGAAAGAAAAAGGACAGAAGACAACTGGACATTGGTTTCAGCTGCTTCTAAGCATTGCTAGAATTACAGTAATATTTCTAAGGACAAGCCCACAATGCATCACATAGACTGTGCATGGGCTGCTCTACAGATGCCAAGGCAGACTCCTCTGTGCTCCCAAGCTGTGCAGTTCTGGACAGTGGTCCTAACTCCTGCTGGATCCACCAGCCCAGTCTATCCCTGCCCAACTTCTCCCCCTGTACACATATGCAAGGAGTCCCTGCCCACCTTTCAACTAAGCCTGCCTGGCCCCAGGAAGCAGCCCCTCCCAAGCTTTGCTATGTGAAGGGTCATCAGCACAAGCTGCAATGCAAAGACACCTAGGCTAAGTACAGACAGTCAAAAAGCCTGAGCCTGAGTCAATTCAGTCTTTGCAGGTTAATCTAAACTGCACAGATTAAACTGAAACAGAAGTGAACAGGTATTTACCTTTGATTCAGGAAATGCAGCCACATGCCTGCAGTGGCTTAGGCCAGAAGCTAGGGGGTGATAGACCAGGCTCTCTGGCGGTGTGTTCACTTCCTCTTCCTGCTACCCCCTAAAGTCGCTGGGATTTGCAGTCCAGAATTACAGCAACAGGACTCTGCAAGATTGCTCATCACTTCCTCTTCTTGTTTCCAGGTGCCTCTGGGATTTGGAGCCCACAGTTGTAGCCAGCAGTAAGTTTGAGCTTGGGAAGGGCTGTTAAACCCCCTCTCCCTGGCCCCAGACCCCAACCGGGGTTTTCCAGGGGCAGTCCCCTCCATAGGCTGGGCTGCAGCCCCAGCCAGCCCTCACCGCTCCAACTAGGGAGCAGGGGGGTGGGACCAGCCCTGTTCTCTGGAGCAGACAGCACAGCACAGCCTAGGGCTGGAAAGCATGCTGGGATGCTGGGGGACTGCAGTTTAACTTGAACCAGGAAGGGGTCTGGGACAGAAGCTTCATAAACCGGTTTGATCCAAATCAGTTAAGTCTGATACTACATTCAG